CCCACTCCTACTCGCATGCACTGTTCGGTCTGTGTATACAGCTCAGGGATGTAACACAAACTGCATCTTGAAATGTTCTCTTATACATGGCACTTAATTCCAATCTTTTTACTCCACTCTTCACCCGCTGGTAAAATTTTAGCGCCGAAGCATGATTGGTTGCCGAGTTGAAATACCCGGACAGACAGACAGACACACATACTCATATACAAAGGCACGCGCAAATATGCACATGATAGTGCTGCACAACAAAAACGCATATTGTCGAGAGGATGGCTGTGTGTGTGTTCAGAAGCGAGTGAATTTTGTCACCCACTTTCTTCTCAGCCACCAGGAAAGCTGGGAGATTGAAATTTTCCGTATATGTTCTTGCCCCGTATGTCACCTTTCCGTTTGAAGATCTTGCAGGTGGGCATGAGAAATACTCAACTTTACCGAAAAATCAGAAGCGAATGACCATCCTCATCCAAATATGTAAATGAACATTCTGTTCATTTGCATACTTGGATTTTTTGACGAACGACCGCCCCAGCAACATTTCCACTTTTTAGTAAACTGGAAATTTACTTTTTTTCCACAAGCAATCATATACCCAAAAAACGACCGAGCTTCATGCAAAAAACTGGTAATCATGTACATGAAGGTTCGTGCCGCTCTGTAATGCACCATCTTCAACCCAACCGACGCCTTCCTCCTGCGTGCCGGAAGGTGCCAAAACGCGGCAAATATGAGCCCAAGTGTTAGGCTACAGCGCAGGGACGATCATTCCTGCTATAAGCGACCTGCAAGTTTAGTACAAAAACCCATGTTCGCACCGGCAAGCCTGGTGCGTTTCAGCCTGGGTCGTATTTACATATATGCAAAAATGCATATAAAGCGAAAAATGCATAGTTTAAAAAAGCTGTGATAATTTCAGAAGCGCTTCAAAGTGCCAGCTAAAAGGACGGCACGATTCACAAGAAATATGGATAATGCTCTGCTTCTCTATGATAAGAAAATGGGTTTTTTGCCTGATGAAGATACACCTGTCAAATGGACCATTTGGGGTGGATTGTACTACGCAGGCACTGTTTTCACTACTATAGGTTATCTTTCAACATTATGTTTTTGCATTGAGGCTATATTTGATCAATACTGTCCGATAGCATGTACGGTTCTGATTTATAAGCTGAGACGTGCCGACGCTGGCCATGTTTGCTGTTTCATTCGCTAAAAAAAGAAACTGGAGCAGCCGGCAG